CCTTTAGCCCAGGCCTCTCCTTGGCCAGGGACGGCAACCTTGTGAGCCAATCCACCTCACAGGTGTTCGGGGCAAGCTCTGGGCCTCCGGCACGTGACCCCGGAGCCTCCAGGTGGGCAGGCCCTCCTGCACATTGAGTCGGTGAAGGGCCTTATACCCACCCAGTGGTCCCATCGTCCTGTTGGACCACTGGCCTTGGTCCCGCTGCTCTGGGGAGACGGCCAGATTACGGCAGCAGTGACATTTTGGATTGGATACAGCAGGCAACGCATACATGTTAAAGCACATAGCAGTGTGACAGACCCCAGCAACCAGTGTCCCTCCCCGTTTCCCACCTGGGCCAGTCAGTCAGCATGGCACTTGCAGCTGAGAGCATTGCCCTGGGTTAGCTGCAGTCACAACCTCCTGCCCTCTGCCAGCTGTTCTGTGCCTGTCTCAGCTTAGAGAGAGCGAGTGGGCAAGCCATGCCCTGGGGGACTCCTCTGGGCCCCCACCTCTCTCCCTTGGGTACCAGTATTGAGGCTGGACCAGCCCTTGTGGTCCTATGACAGCAGGATGCCCTCAGCAATGACTGTCAGGGCACTTCAGGGACGATCCCACAGCTAAGCGAGCACAGGCTCTGAAGGATGCATGGCAGGCCTGGGGCCACCAGCCAGGTTGGTGGGGACAGTGGGGGGAGGGAGAGAAAGGGCGGGCCTGGAGTTGTGTCAAGCGTGGGGGGCCAGGGCTTTGTGGGTTCACTCTTTATTGGTGAATTTGAAAGAGAAAAGCGGTAATTAAAGTAGGAGAGGGAAAAACAAGAGGTCAGTCAGCTGTCTAAGTCAGCCAGAGATCTCTAGGACACACGCTGGGGGGCAGGCGGAGGCCTGGCTCTATCCAGTTGCGCAGCCGATCCGCAAGGTGTTCTTCCAGATGGCTTCTCGCTAGTGGCTGCCTCGGCGAGCAAAAGCATAAGTCAGGCACTTGTGTCACAGTAAAAAAAACAGCTGTCAGGTGCTTAAACACCAGTCACTTTGCTACTCATTTTAATTTCAAACATATTAAGACTTGGATGGCCCCACGCATGTCTATTTTGGTGAACATGCTATGCGCATTTGAAAAGAATGTTCTCTGCAGCTGGTGAAGTGTCCCATCAATGTCAGATCGAGGTGGTTAGTTGTGTTATTGGTATTTTCTGTATCTTCATTAAATTTTTGTCATTCTATCAATTACTGAGAGGTATTAAAATATCCAACTACGTCTTTTCTTCCTTTAAATATGTCCGTTTTTGCTTTGTCTACTTTGAAGCTCTTATTAGTCACATGCATGTGCCTTGTCTTCCCTTTCTCTCTTGATATGCCCCCAAGTCTACTTAATCTAAGATTAATAGGGCCACTCCACACTTTATGTTTGCAGGTTACATTTAATATTTTTCTCACCAACTTACTTTCCATCCTGTTTTTATATTGAAGGTGTGATTCTCATAGAGCATATAGTTTGAATTGTTTGGGTAACAATTAAGTTTAGTTTTTGATTTTTTTAAAAATCCATTTGACCATTTCTGCCTCTTGTTAATACAGCTAAACTTAGGTCTGCCATTTTACTGTTTTGTTTGTCCCTTTCTTCTTTCTTGCCTTCTTTTGGATTAAAAATATTTTTAGAATTCCATTTTAATTTATTGGTTTTTTAGATATCTCTGCCCATTTTTTCAGTGGTTCCTCTAGATTCAAAATACAACTTTAACTTTTCATATTCTCCTTATTGTACCACATTATGTACCTTGAGCAAATTTCTTAGCTTCTTGGAACCTGTTCCTTCATTTATAAGTAATAAACTTGTCTCATGGCTTATTTGACTACTGAATGAGTGAATGCATATAAGGAAACCAGTAAACTGATGAGGGCAGAGCAAGAAATAGCCATTTACCACCATATTACCATGCTATTTACTAATAGCAGTACTATTGCTACTACTACTGCTGGTCTGGTGGTAAATGTTGTTGTGTTTGACCTCCTAAGGCCACAGGGGAGGCATAATAAGCATCCTCTGCAGTTTGACTGCCTGAGGTCATGTTTTCCCAGCTCTATTGATCACTCAACCTCTAGATGGCCTGTTCCAACAGGGATGGTGTGTGTCCCAGGGCACCTCTTAGCTACCCCTTCCTTGCCCAGGCCTGGCCATCTGTGCCTACTCTCCAGGCTGCTCCTATACCCCCTACAGCCCAGCCAACTGACCACAGCCTGCCCCAGCCATGCCCCTTGCCTGGTCCCCATCATAGACAAAGCCTGGCTTTATTTCAGCATCAGTGTCTGTGGTCCTGGGCAAAATCTGAGGCCGCAGTCCCACAGGCCTCCTGCTCCCTTCAGAGGTGCGCTTCCCGTCTCTCCCTCTCAATTCAAAGTGCACAGCCTCCGCTCAGTCCTGGCCTCTCCCATTTCCCCAACTGGCTGCTCCTCCTCTTCTGCAATGAATGGACAGGCTCTACTGGATCCGTGATGCAATGAAGTCTGGACGGGCTGGAGGCAAGAGGCTTGGGGCAAACACCAGCAATGCTCCTAAGAAAGAAGGAATGAGGTGAACTTGGATTCCTGCAAGGTTTCTCTTTAGTTACCACCCATCAGGAACAGACAGAAGGAGCACATGGTTACTGTCTGAAGGAGTTTTGGTGAAAGCAACTGAAATGGGAACTATGAGTCAGCAGCACTTCATCCCTTAGGCTTCTCTTCCTAAGAGGTAAAGCCACCCAAATCCTCTTCCCAGTCAGCATCAAGCTCACTCACTTTTTACAAAGCAAACGATGCTATTCCTTACCACAGTGGCTTCTCAGTTTTCTCACTAGCCCAGACCTCGATCTCCAGCTTCACATAGCCTGTCCTCTGCCCAGGTGTTCTGTCTGCTCCAGGGGTGCAGTGCCCCACAGGCAGGAGCCCTTGGTCACCCCCTGCAATGCCTGTTCCATTTTTGGTGCTCAGGATCTTTCTTGAATGAATGAATGAATGAATGAATGAATGTCTCCCTACATCCGTGATTACGGTCAACAGCCACGGTCTGGGGTTTATATTAGGCTCCCTTTACTCTCCAGTAACTTACTTCTTCAGTGGCCATTTCTGGGTTCCTTCACGACCCCCACCCACCTTTACAGGGATGTTCTGGTTTATTTTTTGGTATATTTTCTGTAACTGACAGTCCTTTTAAAACCAAGAAAGGCAGGTTCTCCTTTACTGAAACCTGTGTTACACACAAAAGGATTCAATGTGTATGTCTCAGAGTGAGGGGCAGCCTCTCCCCGGGGGGGAGGAGGAGAGAGAAGTCCTGAGGATAAGGTGACCGACGATGAGCTAAGTAAGAGCTGGAAAACAGAGCAGAGGGTCGCGGCCATGTTCCACTGACTTCTGCTCAGCAGGATGAGCTACGGGAATTCTTTTCAAATATACCAGAGTGCAGACCCAGTGGAGTCTGAAGACTCTGGAGACCTAGTGCCATGAGTCCATTGTACTTTGGCCAGTAGGGTTCGATGGGACAATCATATAAGCAGTTGAGCCAAAAAAAACTAGTGCCAAGCATGGCCTGGGGTGGCAGAGGCTCCAGACTTCCCAGACCCAGCTGCCCTGTGGGGACAGTGCCCTATGTTGGTCACACAGACGAAGAGGAGGACAAACTGTGGCCAAGGGTGGCAACTGTGACAGGGCAACAGCCAGGGTGGCTGGGACTAAACCTTCAGCTTATCCCACAAAGCCCCTCCTCTCCCAGCGCCCCGGGACCCATGTCTTTGCAAGCTTTGTGCCTGCTGCCTAGGATGCTATTGCTGCCAGGCAGCTGCTTCTGGGAGGAATCTCCCTGTGCACCAGGTGAAACCTCAGCCTGGACGGGGGGAGGGTTCTTGACTATGAACGAGAAAGAATTCTCGAGCAGATCGGAAGACTGTAGGTAAAGAAGGAATTCATTATAGAGCGAGAGTAGTAATGAATGGCAGCAGCCTTGCAGGCAGCTGAGGACAGGAAAGTGCAGAGAGGGCTGAACTTGTCAGTATAGGGCAGTCTCCCTGGCCGGCTCCTGAAGCCAGGGTCAGCTGGTGTCCAGCGTCCGCTTGGATCCGCACTGTGTGGGGGCTAGCCCCCACCACCCCAGGAGTCAGCCACGGAGCATGGGACGGAGGGACGTCATATTCTGAAAACATCCCAAAGGGAGATTTTCAGGCAGGCTCCTGCAGCTAGAGGTTCGTCAGGATCATTCATGTAGGCAACGAGAACTCACAGGCCCAAATCTGAGCTCTTAGCAGTCTCTCTCCCTACTTATCAGAAATAAAGTGCTGACGAAGTGGAGACTTGAAAATAAAATGAAATAGCAAAGAAAAAGACTCTTACCACTGGAAAAGCAGAGAGACAAAACGCACTTGTTGAGCAGTGAGACAGCTTTATTTAAAGTTACACATTTAAAGAAAGGAAAGTGTGGGTCCTCAGCGAGGAGGTGCGCTGAAAGGTTGGGGGGGGTCCCTCTTTTAAGCATTTTTCAAGAATGTGACAGAGGGCCAGGGGTGTGGACTTGTTAAGTGGTCTCAAGTTGCTTATCTCTGGTGAAAGACACCACATCTGCTCTCCTCTATTATTAGTCCTCCAGCTAGTTCTGCAAAATAAATGTAATACAAGAAATTTATTGACCCAGTTCCTCCCCAGGATAGCAGCTTCCCTCTGGGAAAATTCCAGTTAAGATGCCTGAGACCTCCTGCCCTGCTCCCAAGGTGGGCTGAGTTATTGTCTGTTTACTAAAGAATATGTTATGAAGCTTACTTCCTAACTTCCTGACTTTTAAAACACAATTTTAGCCTCAACATAGACTCTCTCCTGTTCTTACACTGTTTGTATCTCAGCCTGTTTGAAAAATTAATCATGATGCTTGTCTCAGGTCCCTGCCCCACATCACTACCACCTCATCCCCATTCAACTAGTCCTTAGACTTACCAACAGTAGAATGACACCAAACAGATTATCCAAGTCAGCTATATACCAAGATGGTCCCCAACTTCAGATTTATACATAGAACAACGTGAAAAAGCTAAAATATGTAAACATTTTAGTTACAAAAATGGTTATTTATGGAAATGTAAAGAAAATCTCCAAAATTAAAATATCAGTAGAATAAAGACAGTCACGGGACAAGGGCAGCGGGTGGGCATGGGCTCTGGAGTGAGAGGCCCACACCTGGGAACACCCCGACCAGCTGGGTTTTGTCCTGCACCCTGAACCTCTGGGCTGTGGCCTCGCCCAGGCTGTAAGGACCTGTCTTTAGGAGTTCCATCTACAAATGCTTTGGTTTATGAGGACCACAAAGCACTTTTTTTTTAGTTCTGACCTGGATTTTTAAAGTGTTGGGAGTAAGGAGCTCATGAAAGGACAGTCACTCCCATGGTCACCTCTGCAGCTGCTCAGGTAGGCAGGTGTTTTCTCAGAGCATCTGTAATTCGCTCATTTATAGTAGTATCGCTGGCATTCCCTGAAAGTTTTCCATAGGTTTTTCTGCCTTTACTATCATCTGTTTTTGGATTCGTTTCCACTGCAGGAACAATGAATGTCAAATATGTGTTTTTGTTCAGAATACAGGTTCAAGTCGAGCCCACGAGGCAGCTGTGACAGCTAGAGCCAGAGGCGAGCCGCCGTGCAGCTTAGCCTGCCTTAGCTATGCTAATGTTAATTAACTAACAGGGCCCACTTTAATGGGTAACAGTTTTAGTATAAATGAGTGTTCATTTAGGGACTAAGGAACGCATGAAAAATTTTCCAATGGAATTATGATTGTATTTTTGAAGTAGGAAAATTCTATTCTCTAGGCCCATAAAATTATATGCAAATATACACACATAAGATTCTTAGATCTTTATTTTACAAAACTTGGTGTACAAACACATACTCTTTTTCCTTGCTTTCCTTATCTGACCTGGAGGCATTTGCTCCCCCTACACATTTTTTCATAGAAAACCATCCAGCCATGATATATTTTTATACCAGTTTACTCAATCATTCCCTTACTGATAGTCACATTATTTCCTTTTTTTGTCCTTATCAAAATATACAATATACACTGATAAACATATAATCTTAAGTACTGGTACTTTTCTTCTTAAAGATTGGTATTAAAGAGTATAATATATTCTTAATGTTAAAAGACAGAGTCACAATGATTTCCAAGGAGGATGTCACAATTTACATTTCTAACAGCTATGTATGAAATTAACCTTCTCTTCTGCTTCCTTGCCACTAGTAGATGACAATTTAGAAAAACAAAGACTTACTGGACTATGGAAGTTCTGGTAAATTTGTTCAGAAAGTCACTCACATTCATATATAGCCACAGCACATCAATGATCTTCAAAAGTAACATAAAAAAAGCCAGTTACAGTTGCCATTTACAATTCTAATGCACGACTTACACTAAGTCAGTTTCCAAAGGGAAATGCTTTGGTTGACAGTGAACCTCAAGGAAGTAGAATGTGCCTCCTTTAGACCAAATACTGCAGAAATTTATTTAGAAAGTGGACTAAACATATCCAAATTTTAAAAAGCAAAAAAAGACATTTATTGACTGTCCTTTTAAAACCAAGAAAGGCAGGTTCTCCTTTACTGAAACCTGTGTTACACACAAAAGGATTCAATGTGTATGTCTCAGAGTGAGGGGCAGCCTCTCCCCGGGGGGGAGGAGGAGAGAGAAGTCCTGAGGATAAGGTGACCGACGATGAGCTAAGTAAGAGCTGGAAAACAGAGCAGAGGGTCGCAGCCATGTTCCACTGACTTCTGCTCAGCAGGATGAGCTACGGGAATTCTTTTCAAATATACCAGAGTGCAGACCCAGTGGAGTCTGAAGACTCTGGAGACCTAGTGCCATGAGTCCATTGTACTTTGGCCAGTAGGGTTCGATGGGACAATCATATAAGCAGTTGAGCCAAAAAAAACTAGTGCCAAGCATGGCCTGGGGTGGCAGAGGCTCCAGACTTCCCAGACCCAGCTGCCCTGTGGGGACAGTGCCCTATGTTGGTCACACAGACGAAGAGGAGGACAAACTGTGGCCAAGGGTGGCAACTGTGACAGGGCAACAGCCAGGGTGGCTGGGACTAAACCTTCAGCTTATCCCACAAAGCCCCTCCTCTCCCAGCGCCCCGGGACCCATGTCTTTGCAAGCTTTGTGCCTGCTGCCTAGGATGCTATTGCTGCCAGGCAGCTGCTTCTGGGAGGAATCTCCCTGTGCACCAGGTGAAACCTCAGCCTGGACGGGGGGAGGGTTCTTGACTATGAACGAGAAAGAATTCTCGAGCAGATCGGAAGACTGTAGGTAAAGAAGGAATTCATTATAGAGCGAGAGTAGTAATGAATGGCAGCAGCCTTGCAGGCAGCTGAGGACAGGAAAGTGCAGAGAGGGCTGAACTTGTCAGTATAGGGCAGTCTCCCTGGCCGGCTCCTGAAGCCAGGGTCAGCTGGTGTCCAGCGTCCGCTTGGATCCGCACTGTGTGGGGGCTAGCCCCCACCACCCCAGGAGTCAGCCACGGAGCATGGGACGGAGGGACGTCATATTCTGAAAACATCCCAAAGGGAGATTTTCAGGCAGGCTCCTGCAGCTAGAGGTTCGTCAGGATCATTCATGTAGGCAACGAGAACTCACAGGCCCAAATCTGAGCTCTTAGCAGTCTCTCTCCCTACTTATCAGAAATAAAGTGCTGACGAAGTGGAGACTTGAAAATAAAATGAAATAGCAAAGAAAAAGACTCTTACCACTGGAAAAGCAGAGAGACAAAACGCACTTGTTGAGCAGTGAGACAGCTTTATTTAAAGTTACACATTTAAAGAAAGGAAAGTGTGGGTCCTCAGCGAGGAGGTGCGCTGAAAGGTTGGGGGGGGTCCCTCTTTTAAGCATTTTTCAAGAATGTGACAGAGGGCCAGGGGTGTGGACTTGTTAAGTGGTCTCAAGTTGCTTATCTCTGGTGAAAGACACCACATCTGCTCTCCTCTATTATTAGTCCTCCAGCTAGTTCTGCAAAATAAATGTAATACAAGAAATTTATTGACCCAGTTCCTCCCCAGGATAGCAGCTTCCCTCTGGGAAAATTCCAGTTAAGATGCCTGAGACCTCCTGCCCTGCTCCCAAGGTGGGCTGAGTTATTGTCTGTTTACTAAAGAATATGTTATGAAGCTTACTTCCTAACTTCCTGACTTTTAAAACACAATTTTAGCCTCAACATAGACTCTCTCCTGTTCTTACACTGTTTGTATCTCAGCCTGTTTGAAAAATTAATCATGATGCTTGTCTCAGGTCCCTGCCCCACATCACTACCACCTCATCCCCATTCAACTAGTCCTTAGACTTACCAACAGTAGAATGACACCAAACAGATTATCCAAGTCAGCTATATACCAAGATGGTCCCCAACTTCAGATTTATACATAGAACAACGTGAAAAAGCTAAAATATGTAAACATTTTAGTTACAAAAATGGTTATTTATGGAAATGTAAAGAAAATCTCCAAAATTAAAATATCAGTAGAATAAAGACAGTCACGGGACAAGGGCAGCGGGTGGGCATGGGCTCTGGAGTGAGAGGCCCACACCTGGGAACACCCCGACCAGCTGGGTTTTGTCCTGCACCCTGAACCTCTGGGCTGTGGCCTCGCCCAGGCTGTAAGGACCTGTCTTTAGGAGTTCCATCTACAAATGCTTTGGTTTATGAGGACCACAAAGCACTTTTTTTTTAGTTCTGACCTGGATTTTTAAAGTGTTGGGAGTAAGGAGCTCATGAAAGGACAGTCACTCCCATGGTCACCTCTGCAGCTGCTCAGGTAGGCAGGTGTTTTCTCAGAGCATCTGTAATTCGCTCATTTATAGTAGTATCGCTGGCATTCCCTGAAAGTTTTCCATAGGTTTTTCTGCCTTTACTATCATCTGTTTTTGGATTCGTTTCCACTGCAGGAACAATGAATGTCAAATATGTGTTTTTGTTCAGAATACAGGTTCAAGTCGAGCCCACGAGGCAGCTGTGACAGCTAGAGCCAGAGGCGAGCCGCCGTGCAGCTTAGCCTGCCTTAGCTATGCTAATGTTAATTAACTAACAGGGCCCACTTTAATGGGTAACAGTTTTAGTATAAATGAGTGTTCATTTAGGGACTAAGGAACGCATGAAAAATTTTCCAATGGAATTATGATTGTATTTTTGAAGTAGGAAAATTCTATTCTCTAGGCCCATAAAATTATATGCAAATATACACACATAAGATTCTTAGATCTTTATTTTACAAAACTTGGTGTACAAACACATACTCTTTTTCCTTGCTTTCCTTATCTGACCTGGAGGCATTTGCTCCCCCTACACATTTTTTCATAGAAAACCATCCAGCCATGATATATTTTTATACCAGTTTACTCAATCATTCCCTTACTGATAGTCACATTATTTCCTTTTTTTGTCCTTATCAAAATATACAATATACACTGATAAACATATAATCTTAAGTACTGGTACTTTTCTTCTTAAAGATTGGTATTAAAGAGTATAATATATTCTTAATGTTAAAAGACAGAGTCACAATGATTTCCAAGGAGGATGTCACAATTTACATTTCTAACAGCTATGTATGAAATTAACCTTCTCTTCTGCTTCCTTGCCACTAGTAGATGACAATTTAGAAAAACAAAGACTTACTGGACTATGGAAGTTCTGGTAAATTTGTTCAGAAAGTCACTCACATTCATATATAGCCACAGCACATCAATGATCTTCAAAAGTAACATAAAAAAAGCCAGTTACAGTTGCCATTTACAATTCTAATGCATGACTTACACTAAGTCAGTTTCCAAAGGGAAATGCTTTGGTTGACAGTGAACCTCAAGGAAGTAGAATGTGCCTCCTTTAGACCAAATACTGCAGAAATTTATTTAGAAAGTGGACTAAACATATCCAAATTTTAAAAAGCAAAAAAAGACATTTATTGACAGTTTTTTAGAATAAATTATTTTTTCCTTTAAGGTCTCTGAAATGTAACATTTGTGGACTATCTACATATCCTACTTCTTTGCAAGACAATTTATAAAAATGTTAAGAGAAACAGGGAAACACACGAAAAGACAAGTAAGTTTCTGGGTTAAACAATATTTTGGCGAATGACATGCACTTGTCTGTAAACACCCCACTGGAAAACAGTGAGAGCGCGATGGATGGGGGAATTCTTCCTCGAGCCTCGCCCACCCTCGTCTGGTGGTGCACACGAAGGACGGAACCCTACCTGCCTCCTTCTGCTCCTTCCACCTCCTCCAATTACCTCACTCGCATAGTCATGTAAATAACGCTTCTAGAAAATCTAGCAAACCCAGAAGCAGATTAAAACGCCAACACTGCCTTCTATTTACTAATGAGGCAGCCCAATAACAATGGTCAGACCAACTTAAAAATACCAGCAAGTGGTAGGAGAACAAGCTGCAAGCTGCTGACAATCCACTACACATTTCATCTGCAGTGCATGCTGGGTTGTAAGGGTACTGAAAACACGGGATGTTTAGTATGGAAAATCTTGTGTCCTAATAATCAGAGGACAAGAATTTCAAACTCCCAGTGACTATGTTAAATTCACATGTGCTGGTCTAAAATGCACAATTTGTATTTTGTGGCACGATCTCACACATACCCACTGAATTCTTAGGGTATGTCTGTAGATCCTTTATGCTGCTGCCCAGAATATTTCATTCAAGATTTTAAAATGTTCATTGTGATGCAGCTTAGTTTGTCTCTTTACAATTGGTATACTCTGATGTGAATCCTTCAGTCCCGTACCCTAACTTTGAATACACTACTCTTCTTAGGAGGCCCTATTTGTACACATTTTTGAGTGGATAGCTTGTGTGTCCTCCGGTACCTTCACTGCTTCTCAGCCGCCGGAAGGGGTCTGGTGGAAGGGTTTCCACCGCACAACCTGGCTGCAGTCTCAGGGTTTAGCCCCTGTATGAACTCTCTGGTGGACACTGAGTCGGGACTTCCTGCTGAAGGCCTTCCCACATTCGGAACACTCATATGGTTTTTCTCCTGTATGGATTCGCAAATGTAATCGAAGAGTTGACCTCTGGCTGAATGTTTTGCCACATTCAGTACATTCATAGGGTTTCTCTCCCGTATGAGTTCTCATGTGTATAATGAGTTGTGAGTTCTGGATAAAGGATTTTCCACATTCGCTGCACTCATAGCGTTTCTCCCCTGTGTGAATTTTCTGGTGTATAATGAGGTTTGACTTCTTGAAGAAGGTTTTTGCACACTCACTGCACTCGTAGGGCCGTTCTCCTGTGTGGATTCTCTGGTGTGTAGTGAGTTCAAACTTCTGGGCAAACGTCTTGCCACATTCACTGCACTCATAGGGCTTCTTCTCCATATGCGCCCTCTGGTGGACAATGAGGTTCGACTGGTGGGTGAAGGCTTTCCCACATTCAAGACATTCAAAGGGCTTCTCGCCGGTATGAATTCTCTGATGTTTAATGAGGTTGGCCTTATGGGAGAAGGTTTTCTTACACACGTTACATTCATAAGGTTTCTCTCCAGTATGGAT